AAAATATCAGAATTATTAATAAATAATTTATCTAATTCACTTATTATATTATCCAAAATACTGTATTTTTTAGACGGCTCCAGTCCCTAGTTATAAAATTAGATTCATACTAAGATAATTGATAACCAAATAACCATTATAATATTATATAAATAACCATTTGCTCCATCGGCACAAAATATAAGACGTAATAGCAGTGTAATACGTATAAACAATCTACAGATGTGTACTTGTGACTGTGTGCGTACACTGTCGTGTATAACGTGCGTGTACGTTTGTATCGGTTTGTAGAAAAACCAGACCTTGGCATTACACATATATTTTTAATTTTTAAAACTATTTACGTAATAATATTTGAAAATTTAAATTCAAACTTTAAAGAAAATCGAAATTTCAAGGCGGGCCATGGCCCGCTCGGGCCCACCTTTGGCGCCGCCACTGTAGCCTTCCAGAGCTTCCTTATAAATCATGTCAATTCCTTTGATTTGGACGAGTTGCATATGTCCTTATGAATACTAATATCTAATTGTTATTTGACTAACTTTTAACCGAGTTAACAGTTTTTTTTTTACAATACAGTTTAATATACGATTGTAATCATTGTATGAAGAAATTATTTTCTAAGGTTTTAACAACGATTCATTTTTCGAATGTTGGAATGTTAAATTATTGTTTTCCATATCTGTTCGACTGTTCACCCGCAGGCCGCAGAACAATATTTAAGTTTAACTGGATGAATTTTGAATAAATTTGCAATATCTAACCGACTATTACAATTATTGAATTATAACATAATAACCTAAATGTTATTTGTTTTAATGATAGTATTTTCCCTTTAATAAAAGATGTATTTTAATATGTTATTTCAGGGCCGGAATTTAGGAGAGGGCTGAGTGGGCTGCAGCCCAGGGGCCCCACAAATTCAGGGCCCCACCAATGTTATAATACTTAAATTAGGATAAAGAAAAATATTATCATATTATATGTAATTAAATAATATTGAACATTATTTGGACATTTAAAAAATTTAATTTGTTGACAATGAACGATGCCTAAGAATCAGAGAAGATAGGTTTTTTGCCATCCGTAATCGGTGTTGAATTTCAAAACGTTATTGATAAGTTTGTACAAATTAAATTAAGAAAAGTTCCAGACATTTAATTTTAATTACGTGACATTATTATTTTTATTATTATTTATTTAATTACTTACACCTAATATTAAGATGATGATATTACTTATACTATAGTTATACAGTAAAACTCGCTTAAGACACTCTTTAAGGGACCAGCTCTCTAGAACGCCTTAAACGGGAAAGCGTCTTATGCGGGAATGAAAAAAAATGATGTGATTGAAATATCGAGTCTATTTTTTATTATTAAATACTTAAACATAATTTAATGGGGAATACACTTATAAATTAATTATAATTACTATATACTACATACTTATATTTTTGTGCTACTGAATTTAATTTAAAAAAATATTATTATTACATATGTATTTTATTATTGTTTATTAAAAAAATTATCTATTTTTGATTATTTAAGGTTCTGACAATGCGTTTCAGCAAGAAAGTTTTTAATTTTATTAAGACAACATAACATTTCTTCGGAATTTTCAACACAGGATAATATTTTCCGAATTTCCGTTAATGTGTTGCAAACCAGCAATAATTGCAGGAGTAGATACTGGAAAGTAATGATAAAATAGGTATAGCGATAAAATGAAACGATAAGAACACGTATAATAYTAAAAATTCTATTTTTATTTTCACAAAACTACTAAAATTTATCGTAATCTGCTGAACAAAAGAGCGTTTTACCCGATTAGACAGAGAAACGAGCGTCTTAACCTGAGCGTCTTAACAGGTAGTTTTTACATTGGCTAGTATAGGAAATGTCTAGGGATCGAATAAAAACAGCGTCTATGCCGGAAAGCGCGTCTTAAGAGAGAGCGTTTTAAGCAAGTTTTACTGTACTTGATTTGATTGTTTTTATAATTGTTTATTATTAAATAAGTAGTTAATTGTAAATTGTTACTACTATAGTAGTATATACTAAATACGATAATAAATGTTRTTTAATAAGTAAAAAAATATATTTTAACCGTTATCTATCTATATACTATATGAAAATATACTGCTAGGATAATAATTACAGGAAACGAATTTAACACAAATTTTGAGACACATAAGAGGTAGGATTTTTAATGGGTTACGAAGTACACGCGCGGGTTCAGCTATTATATAAATACTATTATACTCTGTTCAAAATGAGATCGGTACACGGAGGCGACCGATTATTGTCGGCAGCGCGCAGACCACCTCAGAAAGTTATAGGCCGCGTGCCGAGGAACAAAGCCACACTCATGAGTAATAGGTGTCACCGGTACCGATCTCATTTAGAACTGAGTATAGTATTCATTGTAAAATAAAAATTATTTCGATTTGCCCTTAAAAAATAATTGTATGTATAATATTAATACATCCATTATGTTTATATTACCTTATCCGACCCATCATGTTTTTCGATTTATACAATATATTTTTATAAATGTACAATGTATATATTATGGTATCTTACATAAAATTTGAATTCCTTATAGGTATTTTTGTTCTTAATTTTAACACATTTTATTCTCCCTAATCTTAACCTTCCATAATGTGAGAGGGTATGAGCATTGGCAATGATACAAATCATGTCTATATAGAGTGGAAAATTCTTAAATGTATACTACCTATACTAAACAATTAACTATAAAACCATGCCTATTTTCATTTTATCAAATAGGCATTTCACTTGTGGCTTCATTTATAGTCTATACAATTATATAATTATAAATTTGAATTTAAAATAATATAGGCATCATCTCTATACGCATAAAAAAAAWAAWAATGATGATGATATTAATAATCATAAGAAGAATCGAAGTCTAAATAAGTACCTATAGTTACAAAATAGAAGATAATATCATATACGATTATACATAATATGAATATATGATATAAAAACAATATTAATGTATAAAYAACTTTAAAAATGCATTGTTTTTTTTTGTTTTCTAAATGCATCTAATAAATTATTTAATTGATCTTTACGACTTAAAATGTCTTGTGAATACATATTTTGATTGTAGGATTGCTTCAAATAATTTGTATCAAATCCTACATTACTCTGCTGTCATCTACTTTGTAAAATATTATGTGCATTTCTAAAACATATAACATTA